AAGTTCCAAAAATTGCTCTCTGAACCACCATGTGTATGCTTCTTATAGTACCTTTTATAACCATTTTTAAATGATTTTTTTGTTTCAGAAAAAGCTTACACTTATATCTATAATAATCTCCAAACTATGAATGTTTTAGAGTCTAACATCAACAGTGGAAAATGAGCCAAAGTTTTCTGAAAAACTGCTCTAATCTTACTATTTTATTGATTACCTAAAACTGAGAGAAACGGGGGAGAAAAATCAACACATGGCCTTATGACTGTTTTAAGTTACACTTTCAAAGTCCAAACCATTTACAAATTAAATCCGTTCAAGGGAAAACTATTTTGAGCAAATGATGATCTAGAACTTCTTAGCCTAGATTTTAAGAATGTCCAGCAGCTTTTGCTTCATGCTCTTTGGCCCCTAAGTTGGCACATTGGAAGATTAAGTAACTAGAGAAAGTGGCCCTGCGGCTGAGATGCAGTATGGAGCAAAAGCCACATGAAGAAGCAGCAAGTGCCAGAGATGTGAGAGAAGAAGCTGTCCTCAGGATTCCAGCCCCCAGCCATTCCAGGCATCCCAGCTGCAGCTCCTGACATTGTGGAGCTTAAACAAACCACCCCCCTTGTGCCTTGCCCAAACTCTGGACAGAATTATGAGAAACATTTAAGTGACTGTTGCTTTAAGCTGCTTTTTCCCCCTTTCTCATTTCCACATCAAAGTCCCACACAGGTACATATGTTTGCTGAAGCCAATATCACATGCCTGTGACAGCAGGAAGGATGTTCACTAATCTGCATCCTGAGTCTTCCATTAGGCGATGGGACATAACAAGAAAATTTCTCCAGTTCGAAAAGATATTAGTACCCATGAATAAGACACATGAGTACTACACAGTCCTTATAGCCATGATATGGAAAATATCAGCAATTAGCCATGGATCATGCAATAAATTAGATGCAACTTGAGAGCAGAGACTTTATCTGCCAAACTCACTAAGAAAAGAATCTAGCAAATGCATAGTAGACACTGTTTGTAAATAAATTACAGAATTATGGAATTATACATTTAGCATTCTCTCATCCCAATAGATACTAATCTGTCTTTCTTGTTGACAAGACGTTTCCTATACCTTTTTTTTTCTTTTTGATAACTGTCACAGGGTAGAGATGGGATAAGTAGTAACAGCTTCTGGGGACTATTTGATTAAGCTGTTTAAGGGAAAATGGATATAGAATAATTAATACAATCTAAGTTACTGAATTTCAAAGACAAATAATATTTTACTTACCCAAAGGAGAAACTACATTTGATGGTTAATTTTATGTGTCAACTTAACTAGGCCATGGGGTGTCCAGACATTTGGTCATACCTGATTCAGGATTGTCCGTGAGGGTGTTTTTGGATGAGATTAACATTTGAATCAGCAGACTGAGTAAGCAAATTGTTCTCCCTAACATGGATGGATCTTGTCCAATCAGTTGAAGACCTGAATAGAACAAAAAGACTGAGTGGGAAGGAGCTTTTGTTTCCTGTTGATCTGGGACATCAGCTTTCTCCTGCCCTCAGACTAGGACTTACACCAATTGGTTTTCCTCAGACCTTCAGACTTGGACTGAAAATTACACCATTGGCTCTTTTGCTTCTCAGGCCTTTGGACTTGATCTGGAACTACACCACCAGCTCTCCTGGGTTGCCAGCTTGCCCACTGCAGATCTTGGGACTTCTTAGTTTCTATAGTCATGTGTACCAATTCCTTATTTTATGTATCTATATATCTATACCTATATAAATATACATATTTACCTAGCTATATATTGTTAGATAGATATAGATATAAATCTGTACAAACATATCCTATTGATCTGTTTCTCTGGTGATTCCTAGCTAACACAAGTCACAAGGAAAAAGATCAGCTGGCCACAGAGAACTCCAAAATATTTAGTGCTAAAGAACAATGGAGAAAATTTCTGAAGGAAAGAAATACAAAATCTTGAAGAATATGACCCAAGAAGTTCATATACTCCCAAATTGTACTTCACATATAAAGCAATAGATATCTCCACATGGTCAAGGTCTCACGGACACAATATTTATATACCTCTTTTGGACAAAAACAAAAAAAAACAAAAAAAAATTTATTTGACAGTGAAATCCAACCAGCCAAGAGATGACTCAAAATAAAGATATTCTTAAATAGAGAAGTTGTGGGGGCACCTGAGAGGCTCAGTCAGTTAAGTGTCTGACTCTTGATTTCAACTCATGTCATGATCTTATGGTTCATGAGATAAAGCTCCCACTCACAGTGCAGAACCTACTTGGGGTTCTCTCTCTCTCTCTCTCTCTCCCTCCATCTCTCTCTCCCTTTGTCCCTCCCCTGCTCTCACATGCTCACACACTCTCTCTCTCTCTCAAAAAAAAAAAAAAGTGAACTTTAAAAAATTGTAATATAAGAAATAGTGGATATAATCTATTACTAATCAATTATTTCTCTCTAACTTCTCTATCCAAGTATAAATAGAAAACATGTTAGAAAACTCTTTTTTTCCTTCTGAATGGAAAGAAAGTATTTCTTAAGAACATTATAACCCACCAAAATGTTTTCCACATTAAAAAAGCAACAAACGTTCTCAAGCATAAAAGAACCCAGGGAGTATAAAAATCTTGAGACTTATAAGGAACAAGCATTTATGCCTTCATTTATGCCAGTAAAATTAATCTAATAAAGGGATGAATGAAAAATATGTATAATTTAAAATTATTTTTATTTTTAAATACTCAGAGCCATAACCATCTTCACCCACACAGTGTATTGTCTGTTTTATAGGACTTTATTATTCCACTGTCATCAATATAACTTTACTATTCCAGAAATGCTTATGCAGTAAAATAAAAGTTGCCAATCGTGTTTTTGTTCATTTCAAGAATTTCATGAAAGATCCATAAACTCTTCAATTAAAAAACCAACAAACTTGACAGTTTACATCCCCAGACTCAACCCAAATGCACTCTATTCTTGTTCAGCCTGGGAACAAAGAATGGTTTTCACATTTTTAAATAGTTGAATAGAAAAAGGAGAAGGAGGGCAGACTTTACGTGGCCCACAAAGCCCAAAATATTTACTATCTGGACCTTTAGAGAAACAGTTTGCTAATCCCTGTCTGATGGTTAAATTTATGTGTCAACTTGACTGGGCCAAGGAATTGCCAGATTAAACCTTATTATGGGGTGTGTCGGTGAGGGTGATTCTGGATAGCGTAGCATTTGAATCAGTGGACTTGTTAAGTAGATCGCCTTCTCCAATATAGGCTTCATCTGATCTGTTGACAGCCTTCAAAAAGAACAAAATAGAACAAAAAGGCAAAGGAATGAGAAATTTGTTCCTTTGCGTTTCCTGCCTGGCAGTCTGTTGCGTTGAGACATCAGTCTTCTGCCCTTGGAATGGAATTTACACAATGGGCTCCCTGGTTCTCAGGTCTTCAGACATGGACTAGAATTACACCACTTGCTTTCCTGGGTCTCCAGCTGGCAGATAGCAGATCTTGAGACTTCTCAACCTCCATAATTGTCTGGGTTAATTCCTCATAATAAATCTCTTCCTATATTCTATGTATCCAGTTGGTTTTGTTTCTTGTGAAGAACCTTGGCTAACACACCCTAATAATGGTAAAATGCTAGAGAGTTGATACAGGTAGTTGAAGTAGGATAATAAAGGGGCTGAGTCAGAGCAAACTGGTGTTTGTTAACAATTGTATTAATTAGGATAGAGGAAAAAAGCATTCAATAGGTCAATAATTACCAAATGCCAGAAGGTGTATTGATTTTCTCCAGTAAGAAAATCTCATCTGGAAAGGGAGCTGCTGGATTCACTACCAGATTAAGTTTACAGTAATCCACTTTCCTTCTCTGAGATCTGCCTGTCTTCTAAATGGACCAAACAGTGAATTGAATGGAGCTGAGGTTGAAATGATCATTCCTGCATCTTCCAAGTCTTTGCAGGCACTAGTTTCTGCAATTAAGTAAACACTGTCATGGAGCACTTGAGTGAATATAAACTCTTCCTGGTTTGCCTGGGACTTTCCTAGTTTGGGCATTCTAGGATTCCTCTCAGTCCCGTACAAATCAGGGGGGTGCTCATCCTAATATAAGGAGTTTAACAGAGTGTTTTGGTTACTTCTGAGTGACCTGGACAACTAGGGGAAGGAAAATTGTAAACTCAGAGTTTTAAGTTCCCCACTCAAAGTCTGGGTCAGGACGAGAAATCCAGTGACCGCCCTGAAAGGAACCTCTGCCTTACATAGGGATTGGATTATAAGTGTCTACTGATGACAGTCTAAATACTATTTTGCCACTGCATGTCATGAAAAGCAAGTGCTCTTTTTACCAGTGGAGACGAGGTTATTACTGTCTTTAAATCTAATCACACCCAAATACCAATTCCAGAAAAAAATCCAGAGTTAGTTCATGATATCAGTCCTTCAGGTTCTCTTTTGCTGGAGCCACACCCAACACCAACTTCTATAATAGGGTTCAATGAGAGAAAAAGAATTGTCATGACTGAGACAGAAAAAGGAATTTATTAAGAGATTAGACCTTGCAGTATTCTGGGAGTTGGTGGTGCGGAGAGCTGTGTTTGAAAACAGAAAACAAAATTTTACCACTTTAAGAGTAAATTCAGGGACACCTCCATGGCTCAATCAGTTAAGTGGCCAGCTCTTGGTTTTGGTTCAGGCCATGATCTCACACTTCATGAGTTCAAGCCCCACGTGAGGCTCTGTGCTGACAGTACAGAGTCTGGTTGGGATTCTCTCCTCTCCCTCTCTTTCAGCCCTCCCCTGCTTGTTCTCTCTTAAAATAAATAAACTTTTAAAAATATATAGGTTTAAAAAAAAAGAGTAAATCCAGCCATTCATTCCAGGTTAACCAAATTGGAATTTGTAATTTTCTGCTTTTCTCAGAGAAATGCGTATAAGTTCCCAAAGAAAGGTCATCATAAGAAGCAAGGGTGGGAATGCTTGCTTCAGCTGCACATATGTTACAACTGGAACCATACAGAAAAGATTAGCATGGCGCCCTCCCAAAGGATGACATGTAAATTCATGAAGCCTTCCCTATTTTTGTCCTGTGATATGCCCTGTGTCTGTTTTCCAATAGAAAGGAAGGAGGGAAGGAAGGAAGGAAGGAAGGAAGGAAGGAAGGAAGGAAGGAAGGAAGGAAGGAAGGAAGGAAGGAAAGATAAAGAAAGAAAGAAAGAAAGAAAGAAAGAAAGAAAGAAAGAAAGAAAGAAAGAAAGAAAGAAAGAAAGAAGAAAGCAAGCAACTGGAGGGAAAAAATGAAGCAGTGATGGGAAGTAGGAGCTTAGAGGTGAAGGGAAGGTAGCCGATTGTCCCCTATATATCCTGGGCCCTACACTCTGCTGCCATCTAGTGAGATTCCAGTCCCACTCAATGCTCAGATGTGTCATCAGTCCACACTGGCATTCTCTGAGGCAGCAAAGTTGCCACCCCGTCTTTGATCTTATGGTCCATACTTCTTTCCTCTGGAGTGTCTCTCATCAAGGATATAAGACTTTCTCAGGTCTACCAAGTTTCTCTCTCTCTCTCTCTCTCTCTGTCAGCTAACATCTGTCCTCCTTAAGAATAAGGGAAAAAATTAGCACACTATGCCACCCTAGTACCATTAGAGTTCCATTAAACCCTCTGCCCTCTATTTTATGGCTTTCCTGACATGGTGGCATGGGGACCCTATGATACTAAGAAGTGGCCTTCTTGTGATTCCAGACAGGAAGTGAGAGAGAACACAGACACTCATACTTCCTGCAGAGTCCATTCCTCCTTTATTCAGCACACAGGGCTCCTTCTCAGAGACCTTCACACCCATTCAACATTACCATAACCTCCTCAACTCATCTCCTTTTTCTAGCCCACAGAAGTTTCGTCGTTCCTGTTTTGCCTGATTTTTACATTCGTTTGTGCTGGGTTTATGTTTTACAGCTTTAATAAAATATTTTCAATATCTTGTACACACTGAAAACCCTGCATTACGTTACAAATGTGTATAAGGCAATGCATTCTCTACATGCCTGGTGACGATGCTGATACTCTATTAGTGCCCCGCCTACAGACTGTTGTCATACATTTCAACATCCAGCATGTCAATCAAGAAACAGGTTGTACCAAATCCAGGGCTTTTAAAACAGAGTAAAATAGTGGAGTTGAGAAATGAAAGTGTTACTGATAAAACAAGAATTTAAATTTATGGTTCAAAATTGGAAATTTATACTTTCTACTCTAAGCTTCTCAACACTAGTTGAGAAATAATAAAAAAAAAAAACTAATAAAACCTGGCTTTTGGTTGCAGCCCATTTAATTTTTAACTGCAAAATCCAACCTGTATATTATGAAAACAATTCTTCTTCAATAGCTATTGGCAAGAAGATGCAGATTTTCTGCATGTGCCGCTCACAATGATTAATAGACATCATTTCCTTCTAGACCAAGTTACCAGACCTTTGGTCACAAACATAGCTTCAGAAATCTTGGAGTAAGCAATAGCCTAAGTGAAAGTATCTACAAACAAGTATGTTAATACATGTGGGGTGAAGCCACAAAGGAGCACACAAATGCCGGTGTACCCACTTCCCCCCCCCACCCCATTCTCTGAAAAATTTAAATTGTGCAATGTGAAAATGTAAAAAACAACCATGAATTTACTCAACTTGGCTTGTCTGAGATGGTTAGCATAAATACACATATGAGGTGGTTTTTACATGAAGCAGATTTTAGTTGCTGGAAAGAAAATGTGTGGAATTTTTCTAAAGAAACAAAGAATAAATTCTTTTGCTGGAGTGTTACAAAAGATTGTAAGAGCCTCTGAACCACACTACCATGGCACCGTCCCTATTTGTCTGGCGACCATTCCAACACTACTGTCTCCCCCAGCATGCTCAACCTCAATATGGCTTCTACTAAGCCCTCCCTCCGTGCATGGCCTGAAAAGATTGCCCACACTGGTACCCAAGCCTGTAGAAAGTGCTGTAAGAGTTTTATTCTTATTTCTTGTAACATTTGAGTGACAAGCAAACTTTTAAACGAAAGAAAGAAGTTAAAGATGAAAGAAAGAAGTTAAAATGAAAGCCATCCACTTGTAAAGAAGCTATTTGTAAACATTGTCCATAAGAATTGTTGGCAGCAATGACTGACTCCCCCACCTTCTGAGCCTGGTGCCCTGGCATATCCATTATCTGTTCAAGCCTCACGGTAGCGTACTTGCTTCTTACTGATGCATGCATTCAGGAGGGTGGGGAGCTTTTTTTTCTAGAAAGACATGAAAGATATGCACACACACACACACAATTACAATTAGGGTCAACATCAGCATTATCCAACTTTTTCCTCCTTTCACTTTCTATAACTTATTCTCCTCCTTTTTCACCTTCCTCAAACTTATCAGAACATCTATGGCCTCTCCAGTAAAGTAATACACAGTATGTGGAACCATGTTTTCCAGAAATGCTGTTTCAAAATCCAATGTTAATTGGAATTCTGAACCTTCATCCAATGGCTCTTCATCTCCAGATGCGATCAGTAGGCTGAAGAAGTTAATTTTTTAAAAAATGAATCACTCCAGAGTGTTTCAGTAATTGTTCTAACAGTGCCTGGACACCATGTTTCAGTTTTTCTGGTTGTTTTAACTGTAATAATTTTCCTTTTTTACAATTCTACAATCAGTATTACACGCAGAAGTCAACTATTTCAGGGCCTTTAAAACAAAATTGTTCTGCCATATCTGGGTCTGATTTTACCTTATAAGTTTTGGTCAGAACTTTCTTGGTCATTGGGTTCAACATGGAAATTTAAAGCAAAAGACATAGCTCATCCAGATCTGAACATTTTACTTGAATACCCTGTAGGTTGTTCATTTGTCCATCATATTTTTGTGCTAATTCGCTTACCTGTCTAGAGGTTGGAGAATATATGTAGGGCAGGGAAACCAGAACTTTGAAATACAGTTGGGAATCTGAGTTCCCTACTGTTGCTGCTTTTTATTCTGGTTTGACTCGTTTATTTTTCTGGACTGTTTTAGATTGTTCGAACTGCTATAATAAAATATCAGAGATTTGGCGGATTATATGCAAGAAACATTTATTTTTTATAGTTCTGGAAGCCTCGAAGTCCAAGATCAGGATGCTACCACACTTGGGTTCTGGTGAGAGCTCTCTTCTGGGTTGTAGACTGCCAACTGCTCACTATGTTCTCACATGGTGAATGAGTGTACTAGCTCTCTGGGGTTTCTTTCATAAGACCACTAATCCCATTTGAATGCCCCTCTTCATGAGCTCATCACCTCCGAAAGGCCCCAGTTTCTAATACCATCAACTTAGGGATTGAGATTTCAACATACAAATGTTGAGGGGTCATCAACATTCAGACTAAGCAAGGACTCCAGCCAGTTTATTCTCTACATCATTTTCACTGTGCCAGTCTACCTCTGCTTCTTTTTTTTTTAATTTTTAAAAAATGTTTTATTTCTGAGAGAGAGAGAGAGAGACAGTGTGAGCAGGGAAGGGTCAGAGAGGGAGATACAGAATCTGAAACAGGCTCCACGCTCTGAGCTAGCAGTCAGACAGAGCCCGATGCAGGGCTCAAACCCACGAACTGTGAGATCATGACCTGAGCTGAAGTCAGATGCTTAACCGACTGAGCCACCCAGGCGCCCCAGTCTACCCTGCTACTTGAAGTTCAACTTTACCACAGAAATTTTTATCCCTTGCCAAGGAAAGATTGGGTTTAATGCTGCATACTTTATTTCTAAATATAATTTCTTCATAAATCTTGGTTTCCAAATGAGAACGTTTCACCTGAAGGTATCTCAGTGCATTGGGTCTTCTTACCGCTTAGGTAAAGCGTCAATGTAGCTTAAAGGACTGAAAAGGCGATTTTAAGTCATTCTCGAAAAAATCCCAAGGTGTGAAGATCTTGTGTCACCAGGTACATTAGGTTTCCTTTATTCTCTTGAACTTTTAGCAGCTTCTAAGAAATCTGAAGGAACATCATCAGTTGTCAGAATGCTTTTAGCTCTCACAACTCTTCTGACAGGGGAGCACAGTGGCTGTGCTCACTCTTTGGGTATGGCCCCCAGTGACATGCTCTTGTGCCAGAAAGAGATGGTAAACACCTCCTCACCACATTAACCTACCTTATCGTCTCCCAAAATATAATTTATATGCCCATGAGAGGTGCCTTTTTTTTCACTTAAAAGCAATAATATTCATATACATGCATTCATGTGTACCTGTGTTCTGTTTTCAAGAGGCAAGAGTATAGTGTTCTCAAAGGTCCCAAGTCTAGCAGCACATGGGGAAGAATCCAGGTCTTTAAAAGGAGTAGTTTGGGTGAAGAGGGGGCCATAAGCGGTCATGCTTTACAATATCATGTAAATTGCTTTACAGTATCACTAATTGATTTAGGAGTCTGGTGTCCTTTGTCCACAAGGCAGTCCATGTGTTGACCCCTGCCAAGGATTCCATCCTTATTGGAGACACAGAATCTGAAGCAGGCTCCAGGCCCTGAGCTGTCAGCACAGAGCCTGACATGGAGCTTGACTGCACAAACCGTTAGATTATGAGACCTGACCTGAGCTGAAGTCAGATACCCCAGGATTTATTTAATTATTGAGTACTTAACTTACCTTGTCATTTGACAAACAGATGTCTGCTCACTTCCACCATGGCCACTGCCCAACCTCCACTTTCATTATCACCACTTGACTGTTCAGTCTTTGAGGACAAGAAAACATGTCATTAGCTTCTGTCCTCTGAAGCACATATCACACTTCCTGGCACAAAATTAGTATTTTCACTGAATTCACAGTATTATCTCAGGTTTGCTTTTGCACTTTGTATGTCACTAAATGGACACCACTTCTATCTTCCATAACAGGCTTCAAAATGCATTTTACAGTCTTTTCACTTTATCTCCTAAGATTTACTGCAAATGAAAGTCACTGTGAGTGATTCAACACTTATCAAGCTATTATGAAGATTTCAAAATGCTTTGAAATTGATTTAGCAGTTAAATATTTCCCCATTGCTCCTTGGAGAGACTCTAGAAGTCTTCC